ATTTGTAGTGCATGCCCATAATCCCAGCACTGGGGAGGCCCAGACAGGATCCTGGGAACTTGCTGAGCCAGCAAGTCTAGCTGAATCAGTGAGCTCTGGGTTCAGTTAGAGACCCTGTCTCAGAAACTAAGGTGGAGAGCTATAAAGTAAGACACTTGACGCTGACCTCTGGCATCTGCACAGACAAACACACAGACACACAGACACACAGACACACACACAGACACACAGACACACAGACACACACACACACACACACACACACACACACACACACACACACCCTAGAACTTTTAGGGATACCTCTGACCCCTTTCCAGCCATTCTAGCAACAAGAGCGCCCTAAGGAATTTTCTGACATGTACACTCTGGAGACTCTGGTGCCTCCCCTGCAATGGGGCAGCCCTGACTGAAGCCACTTCACCCAGATCTTTGGGAGGGTCCTTCTCTTCTCTGCCAGCACTGTGGCCATGCTACATGAACTGTCCCCCTGGGTCTGGCTCTGAGTGACATCCACTCCAGAAGGTCTCATCAATATTGGGTCTTTTGTAGACAGTGGGGGTCTGAGCAAAGGCCCCTAGAAAATGGATGGCAGTTGGGGGGCATCTTGTTGGGAGAAGATTATGCAGCAGCGTGAATATTGATGAAGCTGTAATTGGCTCCCTTCTTCAGAGCCTGGGTGTCTGCAGGCCCAGGCACGGGGCTAATTGTTGCAGGCAATTAATAACTTGGATTGTATTCACTCTGGCGCAGGCTGCCTGCTTCCTTGGAGGAGGCAAGTGAGGCTGGGAAAGGAATGCTAGGCCTGGCTGCTTGCAGATGCTGGGGGAGGAAGGAGGAGTTGCCCATCTGCCAAGCTTCCCCCAACCCTGTGCAGAGCAAGCCTACCCCAGGTGGCTCGGTCACCTTCCCCAACCCTCCCCCCTCCCTCTCTCTCCTCTTAGATTATCAGTCCCTCTATTCTCTTCTTATGGGAATCCTGTAAGCTCAACTTCCCAAATGGAGCTTTAGGGAAGAGGGGGCTGGGCAGAGGAAAGAGAATGTTTCGGGAAGCTCAGGCCTAGACTCTGGGAGGCCTGGAGTCCACCCCAACTTCTTCCACTAGCTTGCTATGTGACCGCAGGTGGGAAATTAACTTGCTGTGGACTTGGACAAGTTACTGAGCTCTTTTGTGAACATTATGTTGCATGACATACAACCAACTTGACAGTTACTGAAACAGGACTATTCTACAGTATAGCTCTCACACATTAGTCTTATCTGTGTTCCATGGTGAATACTTTGATATCTTATTTAGTAAATCTTGTGTCTGTCTGTGTGTGAGAGAGGTATTGTGTGTGTGTGTGTGTGTGTGTGTGTGTGTGTGTGTACTACTCACATTTTGCAGATGGGGAAGCTGAGTCTCAGATAAATAAAGCAACTCTCCTAAATTCAGATGGTTAATAAAGCACACACACAGACACACACATACACACACTAACTCTGATTGTCCCCCAAAGTTAGAGAGTTAGCAGATTAAAAAAGGAAACTACTGGAGGTGGAGAGATGGCTCAGTGATTAAGAGCACAGGTTGCTCTTGCAAAGGACCCAGGTTCAGTTCCCACATGGTGGCTAGCCACAATCTCAAACTCCAGTTCCAAGGGAATCTGATGCTCTCTTCTGGCCTTCTTGGGCATGGCATGCATGTGGCACACTTACATACACACAGGCAAAACACTCATATGCATAAACTAAAAATAAATCAAAATTAAAAAAAAAACAATGTAATCTGTAAACAAGGAACTACTTAGAAATGTCTTTATTCCCTTCCACCATGCAGGGACAATGTCTTAATGTACCATATTTTTAAAGATAAACACTCCCAACCCTCCCCATAGGCTTAACCCTCACCTGCTCAGCCACCTGGCAGAAGCATTCAATTTGCACACAATCCCCCTCACCGGTGGGGCAAAGAAGGGGGAGGAATTGGGGTCCTGGCTCTTGTCCATCAGGTGGCAAAGAGTACAAAGAATATGCTGACATTTAGCTCAAGCTTAACCTGTGCCATGCAATTTGTTATATGCTGCTTTTGCATAGAGATGTTCTCATTCAGTAAACCCCTCATAGCCACTGCTGACATTTCACTATGTCCATTTTATAAATAAGAGAAAGATGGGCTCAGCAAGGCAAAGTGACTTTCCCAAGGTCACACAGCAGCTGGTAAGGAGTGGAACAGAAAAATAGCTTTCCTGGGAGGGACGGAATGGGAGGCTGAGCTCAGAGGCCCTCCTCACGCATAGTTGGAGAGAAGACAGAAGGCGAATTAAAGGGATGGAGCCGAGGACAAAGCAGCCCTTTATGACTTCTATTGCTTTCAAAAGAAGGCTTTTCAATTAGTTGGGAAGACAGAGTAGAAGGGAAGCAGCTCCTGGGCACCAAGAGGCATTTAAATCAGACTCAGGAAGCACTTCTCTCAGACAGTGCTGGAACTCGGAGCCAGAGGGGACGCAGACCCACGTTCTCTGAAGCCGAGCAGCTGGGGCCATCATGGGGCCACTGGAATCATCTCTGGGGTGCATCAGGAGGTAAAGGGGGTAGAGGGTTGGGGAGGTACCTGAGACAGAGCATTCCTAATCTCTGTTAACTGGCTTCCTGTAAGCAAGGTAGGCAGAGAGGGGAAGAGCCAAGGACAGCCCCAGGAGGAAGATGCTCCACTGCCACCACAGGCTCCCCTTTACAGCAGGCATGTTTCAAAGGACCCGGTCCATTTGCGATTTTAAATCCTGCTGATAGTCTGGGAAAATTACATTCTTCTAAGGTTTCTGGGTATCACACTTCCACCTCACCCTGTCCGCTGGTCAGTTCCTTGATTCTATACCCTTCCCTTTGAAGGAAGTCCCTTGCGAAGGACAGAACATGTCCTGGCCCTCTGGAGATTGCATGGAGGTCCCTAGAGACTAGGAAAAACTCTAACGAGGCTGCTGCCACTGTGGAAGCCAGGGCCCCTCTGAAAGTGGGGAGAATTCATCCAGGGCCTTATCAACTCCACAAAAGACTTCCCAGGGAAATGGGGACTGTATTCACTGGCGTGGGCCTGGGGAAGGTACAGCATCCTAGGACACAAATACGGTGCCCTGTGGATCTGTCAGACTGCAAAGAACAGCACGGGAGCTTTGGAGAACTTTGAGGAGGTCCCTGGAATCAGCCCTACAACAAACTGAGAAGAATTAAGCCATTCACCCAGAAAAGCATTCACCGTCTGCTCTCAGCTGGGCTTGGGAACACAGTGCTCCCTTAGAAACAAATCTTTCCCTTGATCTCCTTCCTCCTACCCTCACCCATGAGTCTTCTTTCTCTGCCTCCCTCTGGGATATGTTAGCTGGGACTGGACATTTGCAGGCACTGCTGGGCTGTTCTGGGCTAGTGCATCACATTTCGCCTCTGCACTTGCAGAGCAATATACATATTCTCCACTCTTGGGCCTGTGTTCTTTCCCTCTCTTCCTCTCTCTCTTCTTCCTTCCCTCCTTCCCTCCCTCCCCCTCCCTCCCTCCCTCCTGTTCTCTCTTCTTCCCTCCCTCCCTTCCTCTCTTTCTCCCCCCCCCTCAATGACATCCTTCCTGCCAGGAGCTGCCCCCAACCCTAATGTCTTCAGGGTCACATGGATTCACCGCTGGTCCTCTGACAGACTTGGTGGCCTACCAGTGGGTCCCCTGACAATCCTTCCTGACCACACAAAGAACCCTTTCTGACTCATGTGCTTATGGGTCATAAGTACCCATGTGTCTACCTGGCAGTCAGCTGGCAGGTGCCATCTCCAGGGACTGTGTCTGAGAGAGCTGAGAAGGTGCTGCAGGTGAGTGACAGCAGTGGCAGATGCAGGACTTCAAAGTCTGGGGTCCTCCCAGGTTTCCTCTTTTGTACGGAAATAATTTTATTACGTTTATTTTATCATGTGTGCATATGTATGGACACATGCAGAGCATGGTCCCGAGTGTGGCAGTCAAAGGACAGCTTGTAGGAAGTGGTTCTATCCTTCCACCATGTGGACATTGGGGATCAAACCCAGGTCATCAGCCTTCGTGGCAAGCATCCACTGAACCATCTTGTATGTCCCCAGGTGTTTTCTTTTAAAGTGTGGGGGGGGTTGCACAGCTGAGAGGCAGGTGTGGGACTTGATATTTCATAACTCTCCTGTAATCTCTCTCATATAAAACAGAAGCAAGGCAAATATTGGGGCTCACTTATTTCTCTATCCTGGGGGTTCACCAGTTCACCCTTTGATGCTGTGTGGTAATCACCTGAATGGCCCCCTCACCCAGCAGTGACATCTCTCCATCCTGCAGGGGTAGGCTGGCAGCGGGTCCACTTCTGAGGGTCCCCTTGGCTATCTCTGGGTGACACCAAGGCCAATGTCCTGGCCCGTGTCCAATGACACCAGGCTAGTGGCCTTGGCTCCTGGCCCCTTCCTCTTCCGACACCCATCCCTCTGGGGATGTCAGGCAGACCTCGTGCTGGACCCTGGGGCGGGGGCGGGGCAGGAGCTGGCCTGGCTCGTGCTCTGCTGCCAGCGAGGTGAACAGAGAAGGGAGGAAGGGATGTTGCCAGCAGCCTGAGCTTGGCAGCTCCCTCCGGAGGGCACCCAGGGATGCCCTCGAGAATGCAGGAGGCTGATGACATGCCAAAGCTGGGCAGATGGGGTTGTGAGGAGCCGGAGGGGAGGGAGAGACGCGGTAACCCGGGAACCTCGGAGGGGGGGCAGGGGGTCTGGCCCTGTGGGTTTGCAGAAGCGGGAACTGCCCCCAGGGGTCGCTGCGCTGTGCACAGCCCCAGCCCTCCGGAGCTGGAGCCTGGCTGTACCACCGCGCGGCTCCCGCAGGGGGAGCGGCGGCCGCGGCGGCGCCTGGCGGCGGCATCGAGACACCGCAGCGCGCGGCTGAGCGCAAGCCCCGGCCGGACGGTGACGCAGAGCCCGCAGGCGCGGAGGCTGGAGGCGCCAGTGGCCTAGGGGAGGTGCGACTCCAGAGCTCGCTCCGGACACCCCCGCACCCCATGGTAGGAGCCGGGACCCAAACAAAGGCGGGCGGCGGATAAAAAGCGGCGGAGGCGCCGAGTGCTCGGGTTTCGCGCTGGGGACGTAGTTGGCGCCTAGCTGCCCGCGGTCTGCTCGCCCTGGAGCCGAGCGAGGGACGCCGGCCTCTTCCAGCTCCGAGGATCTGCTCCCCCCCCGCCCCCGCGACTCCCGCCAAGGGACAAGTCTGAGCCGCCGGGTGGCCGCAGCCCCCTGTGCCCTGAGGCGTCCGCCGCTCAGCCCAGCTCAGCTCGGCCGAGGTGAGTGCCACGGCCGTCGGGGCTTGGGGCTGGGGATGCTCTGTCGGAAGAGGGGACCGGTCCATCGCACCACCCGTGCCCCGGCCTGCGCGGGGGCGGTGCGGGAAGTTCTCTGGCTCTCCCGCCAGCCCGGGCACCGGCCACGGCGTCCCCAGGAAAGCCGGTTGGTGGGGACAGTGCACAGCACAGATCTGGTCCCCGCGCCCCGGGGACCGGCCTGGCATCAACTCGCTGCGGAACCGCAGTAGCCTCGGTCTTCCCAGGCGGGTTCAAGGTCCAGAGTCGACCAGACTCCCGATCTCTGGCTGGGTGGGTGGCTATCTGGGTCCATAAAAGTTGAGTGTCCTCCTGCAGCTGACCCCAGGTGGGCTGTCCGCGGGGCTCCAGCAGAAGGAGGGGACAGGGAAAGGTGAACGACTCCCTCTGCAGCCACCGGCTACCTTAGCGCACTCATGCGCTCCACGGGACGTTCCCCGAGCCCTCCGTCGCGCGCCTGAGGCTCTGGGGCCCGGAAAGGAGATGGGAGCCGAGCGCTAGAGGGTTTCCCGCTCTGCGGAGAACGCGAATGAGGACGATGATGGGGTGGGTAGTGCAGGCACCCTGGGTCGGGGGAAGATTCCCAGTGCCTGAGTCCCTACACCCAACCCCGCCGCTGGGAAAACTTTTCCCAACAACCCCGGGGAGGCTCGCCACTGGGCTAGGGAAGCGCCTCCTTGGGGGCTTCTTCTCAACCCCTGTCTGCTCCGCCCGGGTGCCAGCTAACCCCGATCCTTCCGGAGCCTGGGTGCCAGTCCTGGTCTAGCTGCACCCTGGATCAGCACCGCGGACAGCGCATAGGAGCAGCCTGGGCACCAGCAGCCCCACGCACCTGCTGACCAACACTCCGAGCGCAAACACACGCATCAAGCACGCACACACTCTCATCTATAGATCTTTCGCGAGCACCACACTGGCTCACAGGCACAAACAATGCAACACAGACCTAGGATTCACACCCATGTGGACAAACCAAATCTTCCCTCAAGCCCATTTGTAGACCAGGACAGCCACCCAAGTCCACGTTATCACTGAAAACTACTCAAAGCCCCATACTCCAGAAACCACTGCATAGGGCTCCTGCTGGTACCCAGTGACACACAGTGACTCAGGCTGTAGGACACAGACACTGACACTGGTGCATACACACAAACACACAGGCACACAGACTTTCCTACACTTAAGCATCAGGATACAGAGCAAACAGTCCTTCCTCACCTACTGCAGACCTCCCCGGAACCAAGGCATCTGCCAAAAGGAGGGAACAGATGTTGTGCTCAAAGGAAGCTCCGGGCAGCAGCCCAGCCGGGCGAGCAGGTGCCTCATGGTCTTGGTTTGAAGCTCAGTGTCCGTTTTTGTTTGATTCTCCGTTCCCATGCCCACTCAAACCTATTCCAGGCATATTGTCTCCTGCCAGGGTCTACGGTCTTTGCCTTTGTTCCCTGCTCCAGTCCCCCTCTGGTTATCTTTCAAACATACACCCTTTGGTCTTTTCTGTCCACCATCCTCCCCAGCTGCCTTCACGCCTCTCTCCAGCTCTCAGTCTGCACTCTGATACCAATGCTGGCACAGCTGGCCCTTCAGGGCACCTGAGTCCTGAGTCCACCCTCTCAGACTTGCTCCTTAAGCTGTGATTTCCATGCACCCATTCCCCGGTATCTGCTTCTCTCTGGCTTCAGCAGCCTTAATCACCATCTCTAGGAAATTTTCTAGAGCTGGAAGCACAGCAAAAGTCTCTCCAGGGGCCCCAGAACCTGAAGGGTCACAGCAAAGCCTCAGCACTCCCTGAAGATTTGGTGCTTTGAAGAATCTGGACCCAAGTCCTGGCTCGTCCTTTGATACTCTCCTGCTGCGGTCTTTAAAATCCATAAAATGAGTGGGAAAGGGGATAGCCCCAGTAGTGTAGGGAGCAATGAACTAGAAATGGGGAGACCTGGGTCCCAGTCTCAACTGGCCACAGCTGCCCAGTACATCTGTGGACAGACACCTGCCCTATTCTCAACTTCTCACCCTCCATTATAAAAGGATGGCTGGCCACGGGATCCCTTTCTGGCCTTGCTAATGGGGAATGCTGACTCTCTAGTGTGTACCTTGATTTGGGTGGGATTGAACATTGTAGTTGTAACCCCCAGAGGTTATAGTATCTTCCTCCTTCTTTAGAACAGCCACCACTGCTAAAGTCATCCTACTCTTGAGAGACATTCAGATGATTTCCTTAATAGGACCAGAAATTTTCTTAAGGTCACATGGCTCAAGTCCAGTCTCCATGGAGGCAACTGTGTAGCCTCTGTGTGAATCACAGATTCTGCTGATGGATGGATAAGTGCAGAGTGAATACTTAAACCCAGGCCTCTTGGTCTCCAGTTCCTTACTGTGATGGTCTAAGCCCTTCTGCTTCCCTGTCTCCCCTAGCACACCTGGCCTTTCAAAGGCAGATGGCGTTGCCCCATCTTTTTCCCCAGACACATAACCCCACGGAAGGGACTGACTGAGAGTAGCTTTAGATGTCTAGCCAGTGGGTACGATCTTAACAATCAGCCTCAAGTACCCAGGACTTGACCAAGGAGCCTGCTCATAGGCAGTCGGTTGCCAGGCAGGATCTGTGCAGGCAGGGGAGACAGGACTTAGCACCACTTGACTGAGCAGTTTCTCAGCCCCATGAGTTGGGTATTGCAAAGTGGGTTACCAAGAGAAGTGGTGGGCTCCCTAAGGGAATCGCCAGCCCACAATTGGTTGTAAAAATAGGCACCCCAAAATGATGGTGCTGGCAATGGCAGAGAAGCTGGTAACAGTCTTGATGCTGACATTGGCTTTAGTATTATAATCGGAAACCCAGTAATTAGCCTCTTTGGTTCCTTTCTCCCCTTTCCTCACCTGACCCCCTTTTTATCCCCTTCCTGAATGCTCAGCTGTGGGCCATGAGGCTCACTATCTGTGTCTTAGCCCATGACGAGGGTTTGTCATTTGAAACATTTGAAATCCTTTCTCACACTGCCCTCCTCCCCCATAACAGAGCATGTTTCTGCCCAGGGAGCCAGAGAGGCGTCAAAGTCTGTCAAAACACCCCTCCAAGCTGGATTCCAAAGCACCAAGATCCCAGGGAAAATAAATAAAGCAGTGTCAGCCTGAAATAGAAACATGCACCCAGTCACAAATATGCATGTTTTCCAAGAGTTGCATTTCACGGGCAGACAGTGCAGCATGCTGTTCAACGAAGGCCAGAGGCAGGGATGTTGCCAGGACTCCTCCCGTCCTGGGAAGGCAGTAAAGCTCCCTCCAGAGAGCTTGCTCCCCACCTGGCCGTTAGGAGACCACATGGCCACACTCCTGGGCTGCCCTGTGGAAAAGTGCCAGAGGGTGAATGGTAATTCATATAACCTGTGTGCTAGTAAGAACTCCTTGGAAAGGGACCCCACGCAGGGATGATGCTGCCCCGTTTGCAATGAGAGGCTGGTGATGGCAGTACCCATAGTAGTAGCTGCCAGTCATTGGGTACCTACTATGTGCCAGGCACTAAGCATGTACACATACTATCTTATTTAAGCTTCGCCACCTTCTTGGGGTATGGGAGATTGCTATCCTTGTGGAATGCGTTTGAAAACCAGGGTTCACAGAAGGGAATAGACTTGCCCAAGGTCATATGGCCTGAAGAGTCCAAGTTGCCATCTGGTTTTGATCTGAATGAAGCAGGGCTCTCCATTTCACTCTAAACTCTTTGTTGCTATACTTATTTATTTAATATATATTGTCAAGAAAAACCACTTATGTTGGGCATAGTGGTGCATGCCTCTAATCTCAGTATTTGGGAGGCCAGTGAGTTTAAGGCCAACCTGGATTACACAATGAGACCCTATCTTAAAAAACAAACCTACTTGTGCGATAGTTTTGGAAGAATGTAAATTTCTCTGCCTGAAGGACTGAGGGTGAGAGTTAGCATTGTTGCTGAATATATCTCTCAGTGGCCTGAGCCAAGTATCCTGGGCTGGGTACCTGAGGCTTCAGAGCCGTGACTGGACTGGGGATGGGTCTTAATGCCCTACCTCTGCATCTTTGGCTCTGTCCCCAACCTTGAGAGCCCAAGCAGCCTCCTGACAGATGGAGTCCCACTGTGAAGCTTAGGCTTTGAAAGACAGCTTAACTCAGAAGAGATCAAGGCCACCAGAGGCTGTGCAGATAGGGAAATGACTTCAGAGAAGCCAAGTGAGCTGCCCAGTGCCGCACAGCATTCTGCTGCCAGAGCCTGGGTCTCAGTGTCCCAAAGGGGCCTTTTCTGTGTAGCTCAGCTGGGATCTGTCATACCACCCCAGCCAAGGGGACTGAACTGATGCAAACAGGGAGCCTAACAGCACCTTCTGGAGGGCAGAGGTGAAATTGCTGCTGACACTGTCCAAGACTCTGCATATCCAGTGGCATCGAGCCTGATCATGATCGATAACCAGGGCACATGCAGTGTACCAGGTGTGTGCCCAGCACTGTGCTGAACACCTTATGTATACTAACTGGCATAATCCCTACAGCTACCCTAGAGGTAGATGTGCTTTTTCTATTCACAACAGAAGCGAATGAGACTAGAGAGGTTGAGTCATCTGCCCAAGGTCACACAGCTGGTCAAGAGGCAGATGGGGCCCAGCAGAGCCCCTGCTAACAGGTTCAGGGGAAGCTTGGAACCAGAGCCAAGGGGAAGGTGGAGCCACCGGGCAAACTCGAGCTATTTATATGACACTCTCCAGCCTTGTCATGATTGCTGGCACCGGCAGCTTCTGTGTCCCTGCCAAACCTGGAAGGAGGAAGCCCAGGGCAGTCCTGGGACCAACCACCGGAGGACATCACTGGAGCATAGGGGCGGGGTAGGAAACCACCAGAGAGGGCATCTTTGTGTGTAGGTTCCACAAGCCCTGGATTCCGGCATCTCGCTTTCTCCCTTTAGTTTCTCCCTCCGAGGGATCCAGCTTGGAAACCTGGGC